AGTCAAGTGTCTGCTGAGCTCCGAGGCGTCATAAGAATACATACAGGTTGGACTTCAGCATGTTCGTTGAGTTCGAAAATAAGTGGCGGTAGCCGACAATGAATCTTACCCCACATCTCCGTGTGTGTGTGTGTGTGCGCCGGCTTCCGCCGTGCTTCCCGAAATTGGACTACAACACAGCCTGTGCAAAATGCACCACCGCGATACCAGGAAGCGGATGGCATGGCAGACGTTGGCAGGCGTCTGAGCGGTTTGCCGTGGAAGCGTGGGCGACTTCTCGAGTGTTGGTCTCAGGTCGACACTGGCGAGGAGCCCTGGCATGAACGGGAGGTGGTCTGTCCACACTCAGTCTGTCAAGGTACCGTCGAGAGTCCCTACCCCAATGCCAGCGGACGTGTGCAGGTGGCAGAGCGCCAGTGGATGAAGGCAAGGGCCTGATCCGGCTGCGTTGTTTCCAGACTTTGCAAAACAGTTTCAAGGCGTCCGGCTCCAGTCCGGGGCCGGCAGCTCGACACTGGATATGCGTAGACTAGACAAGCCTAAGATCCTGTTTGCTATCGAGCAAGCAACAGATCTGCTTGCACATCTGGTGCGACATCCCGTTTTGGAGGTCAACCGGCTTGTGCTTGTGTGTGATGCACGGAGAGGGTGCAAGCACATTGCAATCCTCATTGCAGTCAGGTGCCCAGATGGTAGTCGGCTGTGATGAAACTCCTTATTCTCGCTTCCATGACTCCAGGTCCTACCAAGAGGGTGGTCTGCCGTGGCCCAAGATCATAGTAGGCACTCTAGGCTTTCGAAGAGCCGGGAGAAAATGCGATCTCTCGAGGCTAGAACTTGCCCGGCGACGCTTTGTGGCCTTTCTCTCGAATGTGGAACTGGAGGAAGCGGTCAGGCTCTGAGAAGCTTCAAGGCGGGTTTGCAAGTTTGGACGCACCGGAAGATCCTGCAATGTCTGTGCATGCCGAAAAAGTACTCGTAGGCTCGGCCATGTCTCTGAGGTGCTCTGCTGGCGGCGGAAGGTGCATGTGAATATCATTCGTGCTGCAAATTGCCTCGGAACCTCTCATCACGGTACCTGGCAGCTCGCGGAGCGGTTTGGCCTGGAGCTTCTGCCGGAGTCCGCATGGCCCGAGCCCTTCATCAGGATCTGCGGTCTACATTGCAGTGCTGTTGGCTGTTTTGGCTGCACGATGCTGCGTGTGACACTCGAGAGATGCATTGCAGTAAGGGTGAGCTGTGAACCCCTCGGCGGCAGGAAGCGTCAAAAGTTTGGAGATCCAGGCCGGGCCTGCAAAGGTCGCGACTCCAGAATTGGGGTGCTCCGCAGCCGAAGCTGTCACTGAGGGCCAACCATGCTCAATCCTCCGACTAGCCGTCGGGCCGTGGTTTCAAGACCTAGTTCGCAGAGGTGCTGCCATGGCCGCTTGCGCTGCGGCATGTGACCAGGTGGGCTGCCAGAGACTGGCACTTTGCACAGACACGATGCCAGCTCGCAGTTGAATTTTGGGCTGTCGGCATCGGACATCTGCAGATCAGATCCGCTGCCGTGTTCTCTGGCAGGAGTTCCTGCTCTTCTTGGAGGATGATTTTCACCTTGTCACGAGGCAAAGTGGCTGTGCTTGCCAAGATAGCTTGAAAGGAGCCTTGGTATGTTTCGTTTTTGAGAAGGACGAGAGAGTCTGAGGTTCTCTTCCTGCAGTAGGGCCATGTTGAGATTTTTTCATGGTTCGATCCCTGCAGGGTGAAATCTGAGACTTTTTTTTTTTTTATCGAGGGCTTGCCGTCTGATGAAGGCCGGGTGAGCTGGTCCAGCATCGCTTGGAGGCCATGTGTCCCAATCTTCAACGATGAAATATTGAATACTTTCTCTTTGAGAGCCTAACAAGTATGACGTATGGCTGCTGAGGATGTAAATCCGGTGCCGTCCTTCGAGTATGTTTGCCACGTGCTTTCGCAGTAGCAGACTCCTTGAGGCAGCGATGTTCGCCATGAAGTCCAGCGAACAGGACGACAAGACAAACGTTCAGAGTCGCACATGTAAAGCTTCAACCGGTTCTGCTGCAGTCATAGGTTCGAGTGAGAACCTCAAGCATCCAGTGTGGCTGTGAGATGCTGTGAGAACATGAGCACAGGAGAGGCAAGCTGCAGGCCGCGCGGCCTTGCTAGGGGTGTTCGACCCTCGGCATCGGAGTGCAGGTACAGTGTCTGTCCCCAGTCTTTATTAGGCAGTTAAACGAGCATAGAGATGTGACAAGATGATGAACACCAGCAGGGCCCAGGCATGAAACTGTGACACTGCACAGCCCTAGCCGGGTCGATCCAGGCATTTGCGGCACAAGCTCTTCTTCGGGCCGCCCTTCTATGCACTCTCCCAGCATTGGTGATGTCAGCCGCCCAGTCTACGCCCGGTGCTCGGAGGAGATCTTGACAGCACGTCAGCATGGCGAACCCCCGTCGCCGTACACGGTCGGGCCCTGACGGGACGAGCCAGTACTGCAGGTCTTTGCCAGCGCGGTTGGCCTCCTGTGATCAGTCAGGCCTGGTACTTCAGCTCAGATCCTGTGAAGAGCTCATTTCCGGACAATCTTTGGGTCCGGGCCTCAGTCCCGCTCTGGGGGCCCGGCGGTGGTGTCTCCGAGTCTCCAGCGCCTTGCAGGAGCCTCCGTTCTGGGACTCTGGCCAGGAGCTTGCGCCTCGGCCGGGGGTTCTTTTTCAGCCAGAGCCAGGCAGCCTCCGTTTCGATGCACCGTGCATGATCGTCGAAAGATGCAGCTGAGCCGGCAGCCAGCAGGTTGCAAGCGTGCCCCAGGTGCGACTCGGATCGGAAGTCTTGGTACCGGACCCTGCTCAAAGCTCGGACACATCGACCTCGTTCCTGAATCTAAGCCTTGTCCACATGCTCCTGCATTTCATGCTCTCCGGCATGTTTCTGCCATTTGTCATTGCTTGCCTCAGTCGCCGAGGCAGTTTCAAAGAGATGCAGCGATCGCATCGGAAAAGCCGATGCCCAAGGGACTTGTTGTTATATGTCGGTATCAGGAGATGGAATCCAGGAAGATCAAGATCGTTACTAAGGTTGAGGCTCTAGCTCTTACACTGATCTTTTGTGAGCCATGGAGATCTGAGCTGAGTTGCGACTCGCTCTCGTGTCCTTGTTGTATCGTTTTGTTTCTCGTGTTTTTCTGTTATCGAGTGCATTGAGCTCTGCATTTTTAGTCATGATCCGGTTCTCCATCTGAGTGCAGTGAGGTCGCGAGGCAGTCCCTATGAGGCTGCTCCGGGGGATGAGGCTGCTGCCCGTGTCTGGTGGTGCAGGGCACCCCGGATGTGCACATCTTCGAGCTTGGGCCATGCAACTTTTCAACTGCTTGTGCCGCCCTTCCTGCTGAGGTTCCAATGGCTCCTCTGTGCTTTGCACTTCCACCGCTGCGCACCGAGATCCCTTTCGCAGCCTCATGTACAGTGCCTTGGCTGGGTGAGAAGGGAGGCCAAACCGGAGGTCTGAAAGCGATCACAATGAACAATCGGAATGCCTTCATCACGTGCAAAATCACGACTACGGTGAGGCAGATCTAAGCAGGAGACTTACGAAGAGTTGGAGATTCTTGGGCTTGTACACCGGGGCTCAGGCACCAATCCGATGCTCTTCCGTACGACGACTTGGCGCTTGCACATCATGAGTTACATGGCCGTTCTTCAGGCCACATGCGTGAAGCCAACAGTTTTCTGCTCACTCGCTCGGCCTATAGTCACCGGTTCCCACCTTTCGCGTGTGGCCATCAGCCCGATCGCCACGCAAATCTAGCCGCTGTTGAAACGAGGCAATACCCACCGCCCCAGCATGGAAGCTGATTTCGACACGTCAGTCAGGATTTGCGCGCAGTGGAGGAAACAATCACGAGCTCATACTCGTGTCGGCCTTAATGGTATTTGGGTCGCATACAGCTGAACATCGGAATGTCCTGACGCAGCCCTAACCCAAACCAATCATCAAGTTTCAATCCGCTGCTCTGAACGTCGGTGGGGTGCCGTTATGCCTACGACTCTAAGCTCTAAGCCTCAAACATTCTGCGTATTACACTTAAAAGAAACATTCTGCGTGAGGCCTCTCTGATGTGCTTTAGCCTTTGCTTCGGCCGGATCTTTTGAAGTGAGGTGGCGTGTCCAACCGACCTTTGTCATCTCCTCAGCTACTTTGTGTGGGCACAGATTGGGAGTTCCTGTTGCCAAGGAGCTCGGCCTGTCTTTGGGCCTTTTCCGGCACCAACGCATCGATCGCAGGCTTGGGTTGGACGCCCGACGTCACGGGGCCCTGAATCTGAAGATGTTGGAGCTTGCCAGGCTCATGCCGGATCCTGACGAGGACCCGCTGGCCGCCCAATGCATGGAGGCCGTGGCGGGTTCAGAGGGGTAGAAATGGCATCATACAAGGCCCTATAGACGCCAAAGTCTCTCGTGGGAGCATACACTGCCGTTGGATCCTTTGCCCCCAACAACTTAAAACACCGGAATGGAACTAATGGAACGTGAACATGAAGGAGCTGTGACAAGCCTCTTGAGTGCAGGCGTAGCAGTTCGAGAAGTGGAGGAACCAGAGGACCTGGAGGCTCTTTGCAAGGGCTGATGCTGTTTGGAACCGTTGCCCGTTGTGCTCAGGACAAGGCTTGAGCGAGTGAAGGGCACAACTCCTGGCACTGACCGCAGCAAGCTGCCGAATACCCAGAGAACTCGCTGTGGAGCAAGACGGCCTTGAGCTTTGAGGGATCGAAGCAAAGTGATGCCAAATCAGTTGGATAGGAGCAGCTTTCGGCCGCAGCCAGCCTGGGAGAAATACTGTTTTGATGGCAGGCATTCCCGATTTTTCGGGGGGGGGGGGGGGGGGNNCGGGGGGGGTGCAGGGTGCTTGTGTTTTTTTTGCAGATCTTTGGAGTTTGCGTTTGGGCTCGTGTGGTCTGCGAAGATGCAGACGTATTGTCTATGTCATGGAAGCTGAAAGAGGCCATGCCGGAATGTTGCAGGTCGAACGCAAGACAGTGTCTTCATCAGCTCGAAGTTTCAAGCTAGCATAAAGCCCTGGCTTGGCCCGGTACACACTGCAGCATGACTGGTGCGGCCATGGATCCGAAGCTTCAGGTGCCCGTGAAGGACCCAACCTAACATTCTTGTATCATAAGTATCAGAAGTCATAGCTCAGAACATCCTGTGCACTGCTTCCCAATTCTGTTGACCGCCATCAGGAGATTCAACGGCTCAAGTATCCCGACGAGATAAGCCCAGAGCTCTTCGAAGAATTTGCCGCCAAGAGTGAGCCGGTGATTATCGAAGGCCCTGTCCACACGCTAAGTCTTGGCTGTTGATGTCGCAGCAGAAAGTCGGGGAGTTGGTCATGAAGTGAAAGGCTTGATCGCCGACTGGCCAGCGTTTGCCGATGCAGAGCGCAACTGGCAGAAAAGTAGGTGGGACGACCTCATGCAGGACGAGGCACGTATGATCAGTGATGACCAGACGGCCTGCACCTTCTAAGAGAAAGATCTAGGTCCTGGATGTGGGTTTCGATCCGGCAGATAGCCGGATGATGCATTTTGGAGACTCGCTGCAGTCTAATCTTGTAGCGATGAAACCACTGTAGCTGGATAGAAGCGAGTTGGATAGGCCGCAACGCCAAGGAGACGACTCCGGGGAGCCCGAGGTCCTTTTTAATCCTGGCCGCCTCCGGCTCCCTGCCTGGGCATTCCGAGAGGCGAGGCCGGCAAGGCTGCTAGGAACTCTTAGGCGAGGCCTTCTTGAACGAAATGAGCCGTTCTTAGCCCGTGGAAGGTCGCGCTGCTGAGGCAAGAGATTCTTCGTCTCCGCGAAGAAGAAGGCTGAGAGCAACGGAGACTGTAGGCTGTTTCCGCCTTGTGCGGTGGGGTACTGTTACGGCGAGCCTGCGCCATAGAACCAATCTGGTTCGACTTACCGGCTTCTGTTTCCAGGTCGTGTGGACCTAGCCAAGCATGAGAACCTGCGACGGCGATTGGCGTGTGAGAGGCCCCAGCTTCTTAGAAGCAGGCGGTGAAGGTTTCTGAGATTGACATGACGGTGTTCTCTGCATGGTGCCATTGTAGCAACATTGCCCCATTTTTTAACGGCAGAATGAGGCGAAGTCTCAGTTCAAAACGTGCCGTTCCTGGCAGTGGATGCGGACTCCCCGCGGCAGCCTCATGAAGAGCTTGCATGGACTTGTTGAGCAAAGCTGTTGTGGCTTATGTTCTGGAGACTTCCACAGTCTACGTCTGCTAGGCTCCATTTCTTCGCGCCCTTGGAGTGCAAAATACGGGACTTGGTGTCATGGCCTTGATTGAGATGAACTCCTGGCCAATATCTCTAGAGTTGTTCCTTGCATAGGCCACTGTCTTTTTACCTCTCCCATGACACCTACGCCCTGCCGACGGAGATGCAAAAGGACGGTTTGGACAGCAATCGGCGATGCTGAACCGAGTCGAATAGTCTGCTCTTGGGACCTGGTCAGACACTTGCAGGACTTGGGGCCACAGGTGTCCGTGAACAGCACGCGGTGACTTTGTACTGCAGTCGTGTCATGTTGACAAGGCGCCAAAACTGATCGCCGGCTGGGCCAGTCGGAGCCTTCTGCAGGTGTTTTCGCTTTGGACTTCCGTCCGGGATCAGTGCGGCTCTCGAGGTCCGAACTCCTCGCGCATCTGGGCTACGAACGGGCCCCCATGGCAGCTGCCTCGCTTCGTCTTCCAGACTCGGCGTTGGGATCGGTACCCGACCGCTGGCCCAGGCGCGTTCCGTACCCGCCCTGGAGCGAGAAAACCGTGCCCGAGCCCGGTCAGGACGATCGTCCCTTGTTGAGCTGCAAAGGTAAAGACTGTATCATATGCCAAACATGGCCTCGGGCATTTCACGGTTGCGCGGAGTGTGACATATCAATGGCAGGACACAATGATCTACAGCTGCTTCCACTGCGACCGCATGGACCCTGTATTGAGATCCCCAGTGCTTGGTGCGGGTTCATTGTTCTGAAGTTGATTCGAGTCTTCAAAAATTGAGCTTTCAGGAGAATTTCCATTCTCTGCTTGCAGGCGAGAAGCAGGTGGGCGAAATACCGCTGCGCGTGATCTCGAATCTCTGCGGTGCCAGGTTGTGCTGGTCCCTCCGGGCCAGCATGACGTTCTCAACTCCACGAGGTATGCCACGCAGAGGCTGGACTGCGCAGAAGGGGACCTTCCCCGGCACTTTTTGCACATCTTTTCGCATCCTCGCCTTCCTTCGCTGTTTGGCGCAGAGGCAGTGGTTGCTGGCGCCCGTGTCGGCCACGTCCCAGCGCTATCTTGGCTCCACTCTGTCACAGCCTCGGGCCGCGGAGAATGCACTTTTGCGCCGCTCCAGGGTAGTCCTGATCATCAACCCCAAATCTACGTGACACACTAAAGGCCCCAAAGGTTCATTTGGTGAAGCTTGCATACTGATCAGAAACAAGCTCACAGGTAGTTCCTCGAAGAGGGGAGGGAGGATTCAACTTTCAGATCAGTATCAGGGCACAACGCTTCAATGCCAATCCTCGCAACAGGCTGTGCTAGAGCAGTGCTGGAGCTGTCTGCAAGGTTCACCTCGAAGCAAACGGAATGCACCAGCGATCAGAGTGCTGTGCATCCTTTCCGTCCGGCAGAGGCCAACCGCAAGGCCTGGAGACGTCTCAAGGATGTGTCCTGTTGCTGTTCAGAGTTCCACTTGCGAATCTAGGCAGCACCGAAGTAGCAGCGCAGACCATCGGACGTCACCTCCGAATCAAAGTTCCAGAAGCTGCGGTGTGAGGAGTATTGAGGAGTTGTAATTTGCTGACCGACACATGACCGTGAGAGTCTCTGTTACAGGACAAATCATCAGTGGACGAGGCATTGTGATTGCACTGGGCCGTGTGGCAGGTCTCCAGAGGGCAATGGCCCGACCATGTGGACTTCCCCGTGCGGCGCGGCACATTGAGGAAGGGAGACACGCCGGGCTCCCTGCACAGAAGATCTGTTGTAAACTGCAACCTTCATGGACGTCCGAGTCTCCAGCAGCACATACCAGACTGCCAATTGTGCTCATCCTTGCGGTTTGCCTTCCGATCCATCATACGTTCCAAGCAGAACATGGCTGCCGTGCAGTTTGTTTCAGCGGGCAGACACACGTCATTTCCTTCAAGCTCGCCTCCCTGCATCTTCTGCCCCATGACAGAGCCCGGCTCAGGCTCTACATCCCAGCTTACCACTGGCATTGGGTGGCGACGTCCACACCGCCTTCCTTGGGCATCCAGGCGCTCACCTACGTGGCTGCTGTTTCTTGTGTGAAGTTGCGGGGGCTCACCAGCGGCTGAACTGATGTTTTTTCAATTCTGATGCATCCGGTGACCTGGTCTTGGCAGAAGGACGAGGGTCCACTGGCCTTGTCTGTGAATTTCTGGCTGGTCCCTCAGCCTTAGGACAGTCCTATGCCCCGGTTCATGTGCTGCACATGCTACTTGCATGGTAAATTCCTCAGCATAGGTGGTGGCCCATACACAACGACAAGGTCAGAGCCTTGTTGTCGGACTCTATGCACAAGCTTTGGAAGAGAGCTACTTGTATTTCTCAGTGGTCGTAGGCGCCGCCGAAACTTATGGTCTGCACGGGTCAGCACCACTTGGTCATGGTGTCGTAGCACTGACATCCTGGTAGAGAGGGTATGAGCTGTTGTCGAAAGGACTGACTATGCCCAGGCACGCACGCGCAGAAGAGGGGAAAGTCCAAACGCGAAGTCTCATCCACCAGCCCGTTCCGTCCTTGTCGCTTCGCGTCCTTCACCGGTCTTTCAGGCCATGGAAGACTGGAGCTTCCAGAACGAGTGTGAGCCCATTCCTCGGAGACCTCGGAGAGGATGCGACCTATCCGCTTTAGAGTTTTGCCCAAGGTCTTTCAGGAATGCTCGAATTCCACTGCCGACAGCTGAGCTTCCGCACAGCCGAGCGATTCGGGCGGGGTTATTGTGTCAATAGAAGCCCAAGTCAAGCCGAAAGCTTTCCAGGCCGACGCTGTTTCTGCGCTGCAAAGTAGTCAGCCCAGGCCGAAGGACAAGCCGCTGCCAGATCGCGCGGCTCACGCTGTGTCTTTCTACCAGCTCACGGCGCGACAGAGGTGCTGCACGCTGGCGAGGTGAGAGGACTGCAGACCTGTGGGGTGCTTGCCCAGGCAAGAGGCCTCCGTCCCAAAGCCGTGGCCTTCAGGCTGGGAAGCTCAGTGTGGTCGGAGTACTGCAGGAAGCATCCGAGAAGGTAGTCATGAGTTGCTTCTCTTCTTTTATCTATTTTTTGCGCCCCTCTCCGCGACCTCCTACTACTACTACTACTACTACTACTGCTACTGCTACTGCTACTGCTACTGCTACTGCTACCGCTACCGCTAGCTTAATACAAACATTCTCATTATCATTTTTTGCAATTCTACTTGCCATATTTTTTTTATAATAACCTATACTATTTAGAACATTGTTATTAGTCACTAGTCAATAGTAATATTTAATTTTTGCCATAATGGCTTATGTATCATTGCTACGCCTGTTGGATTCTTACAGTATAAACAAATATTAGTATCTCCATATGGCTAGGCTTTGAGGAAAGTTGATGGGTGGTGTGTAGGCTTTGACGATTAACGGGTTCATGATGAAGATTTAGTCATCCGGGCGAAGAGCGGTACCTAGTGCAACTGACTTGTTTCTAAAACGAATGTGTTTCCCTAAAGGTTGACCATCAGGTTGGAACCATGCAACATATTGCAAAATGTAAGCTTGTTGGCTGGTTGTGATATGGTGGTTTCGGGTTTTACGCAAATCCAGGCCCAGTTGCAGTATAAGGCTTCTGGTTGTAGTATCGGGCTTCCGGTTATAGCAGGGAGGGTGCGGGCGGGCGAGGAGGGCAGCGGTGGTGGGCGGGTGGGGGGGGGAAAGGGGTGGGAGGTGGGGTGGGGGGTAGAAATGGAGGGGGTGGGGGGACGGGATATAGGTGGGGCAGGAGAGGTAGGTTCAGGGCGTATTCGCGTGTTAGACCCTGCAGAAAGAAACAAAGAAGGAGGGAAGGGAGGGGCTTCCCTGGCGCTCGACCCAGCAGGCGGGGGGTCGGCGGACTACTGCTACTGCTACTGCTAATGCTATGGCTACTAGCAGTAGCAATAGCAGTAGCAGTAGCAGTAGCAGTAGGAGAAGCAGTAGCAGTAGCAGTAGCAGAGCGCCATCCTCGTCCGGTCGTGTTCTGGTGGTTGTCTTTCTTGTCTAACTCTACTCGCCTTGCTGGAGCTGCTGCTGCAAGTAGTGGTAGACCTCACCACCCCCCACCCCCCCTCCAAAAGAAAAAGTCTTCGCGTGTGCCCTCGAGAAGTGGCTGTCGGAGGAGCTAGATTGCTTGTCTTGATTCCTTCGACCAAGGGAACGGCGTGGCTCCCAAAGATCGGAGCCACCTGGACACAGAGTCGGATGGATCCATCCGGAGTGTCGGCACCTGAGCCATCACCGAATCCTGGAGCCTCGACATGCTTCGGAGAGCTTCATTGATGGAGGGGTTTCTTCGGCTGCCAGGGCTCACGAGCCTGAGGTCACAAAGGCACTGCTAGCATCATGTGAGGCTGCTGTGAAGAACAGCAAGTTCGTCCTGGAGTTCGAGCTGGTGGATTAGGCCGACTTAGGGCCATCCATCATCAGCATCCCAGAGGGCCGGGACTCGTGGAGGTCTGCGGCTTGCAGGCTGCTCCCAGTTCCGATCGCGCGGCGAAAAAGTCACAAAATCATTGTTGCGCGTCCAGTCGGGAACTATTCCATTGTGGACAGTTGGTCTGTGCGAACTGCCAGCTGTCTGTGTTCAAAATTGTTCAAAGACTAAGAAATTAAGCGGAGTTCAAGCTAAACGCAGAATTCTGCGTGAGTCCTCAGGCCCAAATGCTCATCACCAGCAACTCAACCGGTCCAGCCAGCAGAGCAACAGGGGTGGTAGCGTGCCCAGTACTCCGCGACGCCTAGCGCCCAGCTCTTACCTCGAGAGCGAAATCTCCGGCACGGGCGGAGCCATGGCGCGATGCCCCGTTCGGGCCGGCGCGAAGAGCGCCGCTCGCAGAGCCGAGGACGGGACGGAGCGGCTGAGCGGCTCCTTCGCTGCACCACTGCCCTGCCTGGACGATTTGCGAGGCCTCGCGGCCCTGGCCTGGCTCTCCCAGCGCTGGGAGGCCTTGCTCGCCTGGTGGCAGCAGGCGGATGGGGCAAAAGGAAAGCCTGTCTTGCGTCGGGGCTCAATCCATTTCTGCCAGGACTCGCGCCCTCCCGGTGAGGTGTTGGAGCTGGTGTGGCTTGGAGTGCAATCTTGGGCGGGTCTTGTGCTGAGGGTATGACGTGGTCCTCTGCCTCAAGGTACGTGGGAGGCGCTATGTTACGTGAGAGCTGCGAGCTGAACTCGGCAGAAGTGGCCGTGGTCCACTGCGGTGAGAGGGTGCTCCTCTTGCAAGAGGCAATGAACCCAAAGTGCTGTCACGCTGTTTAGGGAATAGCCAGTCGTATCTCCCAAGTCTACTTCCTGGCCCAAGCCGTAAAGTAGCAACATGCCGATGCAGGTTGGGAGGCGGGCAAGGGTTCGCACCGTGGATGGCTTCATTGGTTGGATTTCGCTGTATACTGCCACATGCCAGCAGATTCAAGGGGTAAGTAGAGTTTCATGCTGCCGTGGGGTCGAAATCTCTTCATGTATGAATTCTCATCCAAAGCTTTTCTCTTCCTCGTCACCGGGCCTGACACTGAGCGGATCATCGCCAAGGCCGACAATGTGCCCATCGCGCGCAAAGTTTCACGCGATGTCCAGCATAGTTTCAAGGCCTCCGGGTTTCTGTTGATGGGGCACCCGGGCAAGCTGCAACTTTTGGAGATGTCAGCAACTGAATGTTGCCTTGCAAATGCTGCATGGCTTTGCCGACTCCCTCAGCTCTCAGTTTTGCGCGGGTGATTTCGGAGGACAGGGGCAGAGCCTCTTTCCGAGAAGAGTTTGAGCAGAAGTGGCGGAGGCGAGATGGGAGGATTCTGCTTTCTGGGATAAGTAGGCGAAGTCGAACGGTCTCCAAGATCCACGCTCGTCGGAGCCATGTTTGCGGTTAAGCAGGCACGTGATGTGCAGAAGTGTACTGGCCTGTCAGGCTTCGTGTGGATCCCGGCCCTCCCGAGGCGCCAGCACTGTTCGGTTCTGGCAGCTGCGGAGGCCTTTTGTTCCCGAATCCATGGGCAGGGGCGAATCCATGCTCTCCGACAGAGTGCCGGAAGAGTGCCCATCAGCGAGTGGCGGCCATCAGGCTGGGAGGGGCGAGATTGTACTTCTGCGAAAGACCGAAAGAACCAGCACTGCCTGGGAATGCAAGTCCGGCATCTGTGCCAGATTTGCACAGAACCCAGGGCAGTCATTGACCAGACTGGGTGAAGACTGCGAAGACGACGAGATGATGATACTGCCGCTGATGATGATATCATGCCACAGACGGTTATGTTGTGGCATGGCGACATGACACATAGTTCAAGCATAATATGTGGCGAAGTACGTGAGCCATTCCCAAACTATGCGAACATACACATGACCCAAAGCAAAGGAGCCACGGATCCAGACTCGTCAAAACCCCTTCTGCTGTCTTCTCTCTTCTTCGTGGCCAGGCATGCCCGGTGCGCCGAGCCCGCAGCGCACGCCACCGGTGCCACGGCTCTCTCCGCCGAGCAGCACGCCACAGCTTCTTGGCTTAGGCAAAGGCATTAGTTTCATTTGAGGCTCAAATCTGAAGTCCTTCTGAGACAAACGCTCGAACTCGGAGTGAGCACGAAGCCTCAAAGTCTCTGAAGGAAGGACAACACCCCCGCAGCTGCATCCAGCTGCGGAGGTGCCGATTGCCTTTGCCACACTCAAGCTCGCATTTTCTTCCCATCGCTCGTGTCTCTTCAATGCCTCAAGCAGAGGAGTAAAGCGCCCTCAAAGCTTGTACTGTAGCAGGTGCCACAGTCGTGGTCCGCCCCATGGAGGATCTGCTGGACCTGAGTGAGGAGAAGGCTGGAAGTATGACTCGCAGACGCAGGCACAGCATGTGCCACAGCTATCTTGAAGCATGTTGCTGCTTGGAGACCTGCGTGCAAAATAGATCCAATTTGAATTCTCTCGGTGCCCTGTTCTCCCACAAGCCTTGTTGTGGCTTGTTGTTCCTGCTGTTGCATGTTTGCAATGGCCGAGCGGAAGTAGCTCAATTGGTTACTGGGGCTTGTTCAGTGGCCTCAGCGAGTCGTGAAGTCCCGAAAAAAAATCCAAACTGCTGACATCACTGGGAAAGGAGCCACCCAGTTCGCAGCGCAGCCGCGTCCCGGACCTCGCAGAAGTCTTGTCGGCAGCCGCAGGCACCAGGGTGCTCCGTGTGCTGTTTGCCGAGCTTGAGTTCTTTGTTCACACAGGCCTCAATTGCAGCCTGTGGGCTTTGGGCGAGGGGTTGTTGAGGGTTGCCAGCTGAAGGCCCTCTGAAGTGCCTCCGTTCGAAGCAGCAATAACATGTGTCATGTTTTGTCTCGTAAAGAAAGGTTTCTTTCACAAAGCACAGAAAGAAGATCCGCCACTTGCCGGCCACGGCACAGAAAGGATGTTTGGCAGGGACATGCTCACTGCAATTCTCAGTACTGTCGAAGTGACTTCTCGCCAACGCGCCACACCCTCCAAGACAGGGTGAAGGCTGCTGCTAGTTACTGCTAGTTGTGCGGCCACTTGAGGGGATAGGCAATGACATCTACACAGCAGACCCAACGCCTCATCCTGTAAAGGTTCCAGTCCTCCGACGTACCGCGAGCTGTGTGCCGATGGAGACGGCGATGCGACAGCAAGCAGCGGCATCCCCGAAGCGCCACCGTCGCGGGAGCGATTCGTTTGTGCAGGGCCGATATCTTTTTTGGTCATTACCACACCCAGGCTTTCAAAAGCAATGTCGGAGAGGGCAGCTTCGTACAGTGTGACAGTGGGATGTAGTAGGGCAGCAAGCCAAGGGCCATCCACAGCAAGAACAGCCGCAGTGATGTCTTCATCCTCAAGAGCTGCAGCGCCAAAACAAGCGCTGAACTGGAAGTTTCACGCACAGTTCCCTCGAAGTGGACATCCTGGCTGCAATCGATGTGGCACTTCTTCATACTCCAAAACTTTCAGGTCAAGTTGGACTAGCACAAGAGCAATAAGTCATGCATGGTGTGGGTGTGTGTGTGTGTGTATGCATGTTTGTTCGCAAATGGGTTACTGTTTGCTATTCATCTGTTCGTTTTGACTATTGTTTGCTTCTTCCGTCCTTATTTGCTCATATTTCATGCATACTGCCAAAGACGTTGAAAAACTGCAGCGTTTCCCCGTGCAAAGCAGTGTCTGATCATGTTAGATTCTTTCTTCGTTTCTTCGTCACGCACCGTCTGTCTTGGTCGGGGGTCGGAATGACTCAACACGCTAATATCGAGCGATCGCCAAGGCAGTATCGTCATATCGACACAAAGGCCAAAAGAACACACCAACGTGTGTTCGAAAACCCTTGTGTTGGCGTTTTGTGCAGGGTTGATTTGGTGTAAAAGTTGGGGGTTTGGCTGAGGGCTTGAAAGGCTCAGAGATTTGCGTTCTTTGGGGTTTAAGGTGTTAGAGAAGGTTTGTTGTCGGAGATGGCTGGCCAGGAGATTTCTGATTTCTTAATGTCAGGCTTGGTTTGGATCAGCGGTGTCTTGCTGAAGGTTTCAGCCAACGTCTCTGAAAACCTGGCAGCTGCACATGTGATTTTGTACTGGGCATGGCAAGTGGAGGGCTAAGAAGGATTGGAGCTGCCGGATCACAAGAACCTTCCCTGACCCAAAACATCCCTCATCACAGAGCAGGAGAAGCCCGGCTTGGTGACATGGGGCGAAGAACCGGAGGCCTCACACACAGACTCCTCTTGCAGTAGACCTGCCCAGACCTGCTCGTCTTCCGAGGCGCTGCTGTCCCAACTCCCCCGCTTTGAGCAGCTTCTAGATCAACAGCCGGACGAGACTCAGGTGCTCTGTGACTGACTTCGCAAGTCTGCACGATGTCTTTCGAGAAGAACTAGAGACATGTGCTTGCATAACGAGATTGGTAGGCCGAAGTCAGCTTCGCATCTTACGAGATGGAGGAGGAGGCGAACGTAGATGCCGACGAGGCCCCAATGCCGTGGAGGTTGCTCAAAACAAACTTGTTAGGGTCGGGGTGTTGATGAGGATCTGATCTGGCGACAGTGGTCCGAGTGTACAAGAGATACGAGATTGTCATGAGCACCGGTTGCAGGTGAATCTCACACTGGCTGAGAGCTTGTCCCAGCCCCAGCAGTGGTCTCTGAAGAGGTGCTTGCTGTATCCGAGATATGTCGCGAGCGTCAAAGGCCAAAGCTGGAAGAACTGGACCCGCTTGCGAAGGTGCAGGAGTTGTTGCGTGGTTTTGCAGTCTTGAAACCTCGAATGCCGTGTTGCGAAGGCAAAATCAAAATTTGACATCTTGGAGATGCCCAAAGAAGGCAGTGGGATGTGTCTTGGCTTTAATCTTGCTGCCAAGACATAATGTGCTGCCGCTGTTCGCCTTCGCCAGAACGACAGCTGGGTGGCTGATGCTTTTGCTGAGACTCCAGGCTCGCCAGCCATTCAGGTGCACGAACACCGGGCGCCAGTCCTGCAACTTTGCAGCACCAAGCTGTCCAACACGGCTCCTTCGGCTGAGACTGTAGGAGATGTTGGAATTGGCTCACGGCTCACCGGGTGCCTTAGTCCGGTAGGACCGGAAGCTTGACGTATTTTTCAGCCATAAGGACGAAGTCCCAATGGACTTGTTATCCTTCGAGCCCGCCGAGTGCAGCCCTGCGGGCACCGACTTGAGGAGTGGTCGAAGTATCAAGAACGGACAAACCGCCTGAGTTGGAGCATGCACATGCATGCACTGCGAGGAGTCCACGTCTTCCGAGCGCTGACGCTACACTGGCAGCCTGGACCCAAGCGATGCTTCTGACGCGATGCCGATTTGTGCAGTACCAGACAGATCCAGACTGGCCTGTGCTGCACCATGTCTTTGAGGGCCTCTTCGATCCCACACCCGGCACCGGCCTCCTCCAAGAGGAGATATGTGTGACGCAGCTTCCGGTGTTGGTCGTTCAATTAGGCGCAGCTTTGCCATCACAGAGGCAATAGTGCTGGCGGCACGAAGTATGCCACATGCAACAGCCAGAACAAGCATGACAACCCGCACATGGCCATGGTGTACAGGATTAAGTAGGGAGGAGCACTAGATTCCAGATGAAGGTGTTGGGCATGTCCTGTTGGTGCAGGAGATGCCGGAGCTTGCACCCAAAGAAGCAGCCGCTAGGTTCGCAAGGAGTCTTCTCGCCTTTTCTTTCGCGGCCCGCGTCGGGTGCCGTGCGCAGCCAGGTCCCGCTTCCCTGGCCGCCTGGCGCCCCTTTGGGGGAGACCTCGGAGCCGAGGACACGAGAGGGAGAAGAATGCAGAGAGAGCTCCACTTCTCGTCAGGTCTCCGGCTTTGGAGGTTCATCTCAAGCTCTCTAGTTGTCTTAAGGAAAAGCTGCAGGTGAGCGGACTCTCGTGGAGGATGTTGGGGCTGTCCGCCACTGGGTGTCAGTGACTTTAGACTTCCCACGTCCAAGGAGTCCAGAATCCCCTGGAGGCCAGCAGCCGCATCCTGCGGGCTGAAAAGAAGGGGCCATGGCATTCTCTGACGAACACTCTGCTCACTCTGTGGCTTCGTGCTGCTTTCCGCGAGAAGTCGGGATTGCGATGGATGTCCCTGACGCACCTGGCGGTAATGCAGTTTTGAGATTCCCCGCGCTGCGCCTCCACTGTCTGTCAAGCCTCTGGCTAAGCATCGGTACCTAAAGCAGTGCTGCACAGAGTCAAGAGGTCTTCAGCACACGCCACTAAGCAGCTTCAGATTGAAGCAGCACGACGAGCAGATGCGCTATACTCTGAACGTTTTGCAAAGTAGCCCTCAGGGTTGATACTCAGTATGATGGACTCTCCCAAGCGGTCTGCGGCTGGATTACTGGCCTTTGGCCTGGCTTGCATCTGAGATCAAGACACATCGGTCCCTGTTCGTTTCTGGCACAGGGCTCGGTCTGCTGGAACATGACGAGCACTTTTATCCTTTTGGCCAGTGTTGCGGCTCCCCCTTTCAACGCGCCTTCGGAAGATTTGATTAGTGGTTTTCCGCCGAGGCACTTGCAGCATCCTCGTTGGCTTTCGTGCTGCCTAGGCCTTTGCAACAGTGCACATTGCAAATGCCAAGCGAGCAAAAGCAATTTCTGCAATGGGTGGGTCGTATGTTGCCGGCAGATAGACAGCGAGGCAGCCAGGCAGCCCTAGCAGCTCCACTGGCACAGTGGCCGCACGGCGCCGGCCCCATTGGGCGTGGACAGCTTCTTGGAATCTAGGTCATTTAAGCCAAGACTTGCTTCTATACCAGTGCTGTAGATGGTAGAGGTACGGCCAAATGACCCTTTAAAAGCTAGACATACACACGCCTAGGTTCGCGGACTACCGTCCCACCATATCACCGATAACCATTCTCACCATATACCCTAAACCATCATAACCATAAACCTCATAACCATCATACCATAAACCCTACACCCATGATAACCAAATATCCTATAACCATTCTACCCAATTATCCGAACCCCAAAACATCCAAAAAGCCCCAACCAAACAATCTTACCAATTCTCCTATCACCCCCAAACCCAACCAACCAAAGCTCCTTACCCAATAATCTTACCAAAACCCCCTATCCGCGAACCCGGGCGTGAACCTTATTTAGTTTTCATAATTTAATTATTGTGAAAACTAAAACCAAGATTTCGTATGTCTAGTAATACATCAGAAAGAATATCTTCATAATGTTCGTTCTTGTAAAGCAGTTCAATCATGCCCCGGTTCGTGACATACCCTCCGACCTCACCATCACAACCATCCAACCAACAAACCTTCCCAAAACATCCAAAAGCCCCAACCAACAAACCCTAACCCATTCTTACCCAATTATCCTATACTCAAAACATCCAAAAGCAACCTACCAAACCAATACAATCATCCAGAACACAACCCAAAACCCAAAGCACCTAAACAATACTTAACCTTATCCATTCTATAGCCAATATCCTAACATGAGGTGTGGGGTAAGACCCTAATAGATTTAATAGAAAAACCCAAAGCCCATAACCGAAATGATGAAACCCCAAAGTTGTGACGTTTCGCGAGTCTGCTGACGCAGCGACCTTACCAAAATACGTAACCCAAAACCACCACAATCCCTAACCCTAACCTCATGCATTTTACAGCTTAGAAGGCCACCAAGAAGGACACGAAAGACTCACGAGTTATTCACGACCCCTAGATAGCAGCTGGCGTTTAATTTTTCAGGTTGAGCACTTTGGAGATCAACCAGCCCAGCTTGTGTTTGGCACCCGCGACTTCACCGGTCGCAGTGCGCCTTGCGCGATTAGCTTGCATTTGGTGCTGCAGCTTGTTGAATTCATGGTTGAATGGTTTGCTGTCGAAAGCCACATGACGCCGCTGTCATGCTTCGCAGTCACCGTTGCTGAGGCTGAGGGTCGCTTAAAGAGAGAGCGAGAACAGTCTTGCAATGAGACGCCATGGACATGCATGGTGCATCATCGCCCTCTTCCCGGTGCTCAGCCAGCCGAGCGCCTTCACGGGTGAAACCACGAGAGGCGCGACCCCAAAATCAATACAAGCATTTGTCTGCGGTTGTTGCTCGTTTGCACTGTAGAGAATCGTCAAGTCTTGCTCAGGTTGGCACATGGAGAGAAAGCTCCTAGCCCAACGCCACGTAGAGATCGACCCAATCATGGAGAAAATTGTGTTTTTTTTTTTTGCGAGCTCTGCCGTCACAGGGGCAGGTGTATCCTGGTACAAGGACCAGCAATCACAGCAAGAAAAGATCACCCACCTCACGATAGCCGTGGAAGGGCTGCAGGCTGGAATGAAGCTGCCAGCAGAGCGTCTCGAAAATCTCAAGGAAGAAGGCAAGAAGAGGCTCGACGAGCAAGACAGGAAGCTCGACGATCAAGGCAAGAAGCTCGAACAGATCTTCAACATGCTCAAAGAGAAGCGAGGCCGTTCCTTCCGCTGATGAGACAGCGAAGATCCACCTGTGACCTGCTGACGAGCCATCAATCAATCCCAGTTGTGCTCAAAAGTAGGTTGCTTCACGTGTGTCACCAGAGCACTCGCAGATGCAGAAACCGATGCCGC